CCCCAAAACCCCAAAACCCCAAAACCCCAAAACCCCAAAACCCCGATGGAATGATATCTAATTGAATTCTATTTTAATACAAAATTATGGACCTTTCATATCTTTATCAGCCTTCTTTATCATCTTATCCTTCTCTTTGAGTTCATTTTCTAAGGTAGATAGCTTAGGATCTCCTTCAATGATTTTCTGAAGTTTACTATCCACAAATTTCAATGAATTATTTTGGCTGAAATGTTCTAAAACATCCATGGTGGTACTCATTTTGGTAGTGTTGTCAACTCACATTCCTAAAAGTCCTTGGATTGATACAAATTTGTCTCTATCTTTTTGAGTGATTCCTTCATTTGACTTTTTGTTGAATAACTGAATTATTCCAATAGGAGTGGTTTTATCTTCTCCATAAATTGGGCCAATCATAAAGTTAAATACTTCTGTGCAGTTTGATAAATTGTCGATTTCAGACAAGTTATTTGTATCCTTTGTCGAATGGATTTCAATTTGAGGAATGCCATTTACTTTATCAGCATCTTTTTGAGCGAATACTTGGCCTGTTATTCCACAGTTGGTTGGAAATTTAATTAAATTTGAAGTCTCTTCAAACTCTTCTTCCTCCTCAGTATTAACTTCAGCTACGGATAGTAACTTGTCTTCCTTTTTGTCATAAATCAAAATTCCAGCTGCCTGAAATCCCATAAAAATTGGCAACTTGTTTTTAATCTTCATAATGAGCCCTTTATGAGTTCTCTGAGTTCAAATGTCACTGATCAACTGAAGAGTATCAACAACATTCCTCTCTCTCATTTGAGATTCCTTATTTAGCCAGCATTCTCTCTATTTTCATATGAATATAGTGACAAAAAGTCTTAACAATGTGCTCGTCAACCATGGCAAAACCCATATACTTTGAGGCTGCTCTGTCCTTTTTATTGACTTCAGCTTTACTCCCTCTAGTCTTCATCTGATAACTCCTTGCCTCTAACTGAATTGCCATGACAATTCTCTCGTGTTTGTCAAAGACAGGAAAGGCTAGATATTGCTGACTCCTTATTCCATATCTCAACTCTTCGATTGTCTTAAAGCATGGCTCACTCATATGAGAGTCAGAAAGTCCAATTAAGTCAACGTATCTGTTGTAACTTCTCACTAATTTAATTTGTCAATTTAAGTTCATTATCAATCTTAATGGTAATTTTTTAGTTTGTTGTAACTTTAAATGGCGATGCCATCCGCAAAATAAGCAAATAAACCACTTCTTGACTTATCATATAAGATTTTTAAATGTATTAATGAAATAAGCTAATGTATTGCCAGTATGATTAGCAGCAATTTCAGTTAACATTTACTTTATTTCTCTTAAAATAATATTATGAAAGAAAACAGTCTTTGCAAGTATCACCCAGATCAACATTTTAGGATGAATACTGAGAAGAGGAGAATTCAGAAGGCTAATAATGCTTATTAGAAAGGTCAATATTTATAACGCAACAATTTGTTATAGTTTATTCTCTCTCAACATAAAAATAACTTCTACTTACTTGTGATTTTGTCATTGTTTTCAACCCCTTTTGAAGGCATTCTTCCTAAATCTAAACTCAAATTAATACCTCCATGCATCAAGGGAGTATCGATCATAATTTTCTGAACATGACTCTGGTCAAGAGATCCTTCTTCTTCAATCTTTTTGGAAAGGTGGGGGTCGAAGCAGAAAATGTTTCAGAATTTACACTGTACCAAGTTTGTTGCAATTTCTTTGATCGTGACAATAAATGTATCCAAAATAGTGCTAGCTTTATTCACCATATTAAGCCCTCTGAATGACTTCTCAAGTTTAGAAGTTTCTATCCAGTTGCTTCCTAAATTAGTTTGATTGTTACTCGAGGCAGACCCTCTGCTATCAAGACGATGGTGACTCTTCATTTTTCCAAACGGATCAGCTTGTGTGTTTGCTCTTTGTGGCCCAGGAACTAGAGTATATTGATTTCCAAGTGTGTTAAATTGACCTCCAGCTTTAGTCTCTACTCTTTTATGCATATTTGATTTGTCAATCTTGTTCTTCTTTTCTGGCTTTTTCAAATGCGTATAATGCTCAGATGAAATTTCCTGCACACTCTTCCAATAACGTTTGAGAGTCTGCTGTAATTGAGTTTGCTCTTTATTTTAATTTCTTAATCTCTCTGTATGCAGAATTAGTTTCCTTCTTTCATTGGTTAAGTTCTTCTTGAGCATCTTCAACTTCCTTCTTCATATCAGTCAAGAAGAGGTCCTGATACATAGAATGAACTTCTCCAACAGAGACTTGGTTAAGAAAATCCATATTGGTACTCATTCCTCCTTTGAGATCTGTCTTGGGAGTGTCACCTCACTTTGTCTCTTCTGGTTGGTCTGTGGAAGTATCATTAAGGTCATCGTTATCTCTCATTTTCATAAAAAGTTTCTTATTGACATCCTTCATATAGTTATTTTGGTCAATAAGTTCTTGGTTGTCTGTCTTCAAAGTGTCATATTCTTCATCTAAAGCTTTTGCTTGAGCTTCAAGCTGCTTAATCTTCTTAGCCAGTTCATTCGAACTCTGGAAAGACATGTTCTTATTGTTAACAGCACTAATACCAGGACTTTTATGGCCTATTTTAGTGTTAAGAGTGGCTGCCTTAGTATTCTCAAGGGCAGAATCTGTGTTCTTTAGGAACTTATTCATCATGTTCATTTGATCAGGATTAAAATATTTTTGAATCCCAGTCAGCTTCTTTGTTTTCGTAGACTTCTTCCGAGAAGATACTTTATTGGTGTCAAGATCTTGCTCGGTTTCCTGGTCCTCTTCAGTGTAAGGATCTTCAGTGTGAGAATTGCTGTCAATATTTGGTTGTCTTGAAATATCGGGGAATTTTGTGCTATATTTTGACCTACCCCCGAGAACGGAGGTAATAGGAATAATCTTTGGAGACTCCTTCGGAGATTTATGCTTCTTTATTTCAATATCTGATAGAGGAGGATTTTGAATATAATTAGAGTCAATATTTTTACTAGTCATTGGAGCTATATCTCTTTCAGTAGAAGCAAAGCTTTCAGCAACTTGATTCTTCGAGTCCATATAATTTATTTAAATAAAATCAATAATAATTAATACATTTGGGGTTTTGGGGTTTTGGGGTTTTGGGGTTTTGGGG